TTTCCGCATCCAAGGCGTTCAATTGTATTTCACTTAACTTTGGTAATCCTGCATTTTTTAAATATATCATCCTTTTTTCGTTACTATCCTTTACATTTTCCTTTGAAGAGCCATGGGGGCTAATATTATACAGTTTTCTATAGTATTCCGTGAACACTTTAATAATCTCTTTGGTTGAATAAACCAACTCTCCTTTAGGATTTTTGTATCCTTTCTATATAATTTCTATTTTTCTTTTTATTCAGAGCTCTCATTAAGTATTTTCCTGGTCTGTCGCCCCATCTTTATCTTTCATTTTAGTACTTTGTTATATACTCTTCTCCTCTCTTCGTCCATCAATCTCTCTAATTCATCTTTTTTATCCATTAACTTCTGTCTTATTTCTCTTGTTATTTTCTTCTTTTGTATCTGCTCTAGATCCAGGATTTCTTTTAGGAGCCCACTAACCCTCTCTCTTCTTTCTCTTTTCTTCCTTGCTCTCATCGCAATCAGGATACCTCTTATATATGCCTTGTGGCTTTCCCATACTGTGGCTGTCGATACTTCCTCTGTCTCATTCTCCTTAAAATATAACTTGATCTCTTCCCCAATCTTCTGAGCTATGTCCTCATCCAAAAGAAGGGCCTCATTTAACCTCCATCCTAAACCTCCCGTCCACCGTCTTCCCCATCCCATTTTCATTGTGACAGGGGCATGATCCGAGAATGTACTCATCTCTATTTCAACCAATAACTCTATGAGTTGATGATCTATCAAAATATAATCCAACCTCGAATATATCTCATGTGCCTTTGAGAAGAAGGTGTAGTCTGTCTCTCATATGCATTATTCTCCAAGTGTCCACCAGTTGGTACTCGTGGATCGCTTTCTTCAAAGCTCTCAGAGACCCACCCCCCTCTCTCTGCACAGGGGAGGTTGCATCCTTTTGGGGATCCATGCAGAGATTTAAGTCTCCTGCTACTATCAAAAGCCCTTTTTTAAAGTCCATCAGTTTTTTCAACAGACCCTTCAAATAGATCTCCGGCTTTTTGTTGGGGCAATATATATTGGCTAATGTACACTCGATTCCCTGTAATTTACCTTTCAAAAACAGGAATCTCCCCTCCGGATCAGTTCTTCTATCCTCCAGCTCAAATCTCATGTTCTTTGCCAACCCTATTGCCACCCCTTTTGCTCTTTTAATTGGGGAGTCAGCGGAATACCATGTTGGATAATATTTAGATTTTAATTTCACATTTGACTCTATCTCAAAATGTGTTTCCTGTAAAAATACCACTGACGTTGCCCTATGGTGTAACTCTTTAAACAACTTAAATCTTTTCCCAGGACAGTTCAACCCATTCACATTAAATGTTATAACCTGTATTTCTTCCATCCTTCTTAAATCTGTCTATCTCTCTTCTAATAAACCTCTTCCTATTAGGCCCTTCTATCGTGCAACATTTTAACCCCACCTCCCCTCCCCCCTCATCCTCCCACCCGACACCAATCTCCCACTCCCCATCCCTCCCTCCCTCTCTTCTTTTTCCCCTACCCGTTTTTAGGCTTATAAACTGCCTACAAATCATTTGTGGATCTGTTTCCACCTTTGATTTAAAACTTAGGGCGTAAGCTCCGCCCATGGACGGCTCGCCTCTCCTCCGACCCCCCCAGATCTCTTCTCTCTATCATCCAGGCTCAAGAAGAATCTTAACTTCCCTCGCTTCACCAGAGCGTTCTGAAGGACCTCAACATCCGGAGGGGAGAGACCAGGGGCGAGAGGTGGAAGTGGGAGAAAAAAAAAAAAAAAAAAAAAAAAACATATAAATTTCTACTTAATTCTCCCTCCTTTCCCTCCCCAACCCCAAAATCTCCCTCCCCCCGACCCGCTGCCAGTCCTCTTTTCTTGTAACATCTGTATCTCCTTTATCTTCTTCTTCTTCTTCCCACCCCGCTATCTCCATTCTTTGCAAATCCAGTCTCTCGCAAAAGTCCCTTAGTTCCTCCGGAAATCTCAAGTAAGCTGTGACCCCATTTTTCCAGCCAATCAGAGATGCTGAGATACCCCATCTATACTGCACATTCTGTTTCCTCATTTGCTCCAACAGGGGTCTCAGGGATCTCCTTCTCCATAGGGTCTCTGCTGTTAAGTCCGCATAAATTTGGATAGTCAAATCTCCATACTTAATGATCTTCCCTTGGTCTTCTTCCAAATCTCATCTTTGACCCCAAATTTTTGGAACTGTACAATTATGTCTCTCGGTCTTTCCTTCTCAGTAGCCTGTTTGACCTTTCCTATTCTAAACACTCCATCCAACTTGATCCCGTCTGTTTCAGGTCTATCTCTTATGGAGTTCAAAATTTTTTTCACTAGTTCATATAGTGTTTCGCCTTTTGCAGTCTCTGGAATTCCTCGTACCCTAAGGTTACACCTTCTTTCTTTATTTTCTTGGACTTCTATCCAATAGGTCAATTTTTTCTGGGTGTTTTCCAATTGGTTTATTTTTTTCCTTAAGTTATCAATGTTTTGGGCCTGGATTTTAACTTTCTCCTCTGTTTCTTCTATTCTTGATAGCAGGTGCCCTAGGTCATTTCGAATAGCTGTCATTTCATGTTTTATCATTTTTTCCAAATTCTGAAACATTTCTATCATCTCCTTCTTGTTTGGTGCTTGTAGTTCCCCATCTGATTCTCTTTTTCCCGAACCATCCTCTATTTGTTGGCTGCAGCTGCTATTCATGCCCAATGATAATCTCGGACTATTACCTGAACTAATGTCCATTTCCCCTTTTGTGCTTGTGCCCTGGGCCCTTTCTGGCGTAATATTTCCATATGATGTAAATTTCTTTATTGTTCCTGTTTGAGACCCTTTGGGCCCTGCTGCCTTGGGACCCTTATTCTTCATATCCTCTGTAAATTTCAGTTATTAATTTTTTTCTTTCTATATCCTCAAGATGGGATTATACCTCTCCTTTATAATTTCTGGACCAGACAAACTTGCGATTTTTTTATGTTTTATTTTCCTAGGACACCTGGGCCTCCTCTCTTCTTCTCTTCTAACCCCCGGAAATCCTCCCCTCCCCTCTTTCACCGCCTGGTCTCCTATGTCACTCAGGGGTCCACAACACAGTAAGCCCCCAGTAGCTCTCACTCATCCTTCCCTTCTCAGGACGGTGGCTCCATGCTTGTACGGAGGGCCATCACTGCTGCTCAGTCCTGGGGGGGGGGGGATTCCTCAGGGTTTCCGATGCTGTGTTATTTTTCTTTCCCTCTTCTTTTCCTTTCCTTTTTCCTCTCTTCCTCCTTTCCTCCTTAGGGTTCGTCCCAAGGAGGCAGGATGGGTTTCCTGGTATTCCTGGCTCCACCAGTCCCAGGCACGGACAAGCCAGGTAGGGGGGGTATAGGCAGCAGTGAGCGTCTCCCTGTCACATCGGGGAGGCAGCCGGATTCCACTTTCACCCAACTCTCCTTCCCCCTGTCAGCCTTCGGCCGGCGTCCCTGCTTCCTAGGGATGCACCGCGGCTGGTCACATGCCCTGGCCGCGCCTCCTCGTCTCCCGGCAACCAGGCTCAGCGTCCCAGTCTCTCTCCACTGCTCTCTCTCCGGCTCCAACCGCGCACCGCTGCCCATCAAGGGAAGCCCACCAGGCCGAGGTATATCTCTGCCATCTAGGGCTCCATACCGCTGGGGGGAATTAAGACTGCAGTTTAATAGGTTAATCATTCATATTTGGATAACTTTTATGTTGTACTTAGGAAGGAGAAAAATAATCAATACCTTAATAATAACAATTTAAATAGATTTATTCAACTGAAACAATAACATTACAGAATATGTTATTTGCTTAAACATCCATGTTTGTTAACTAATTTGGCAAAACAAAATATATATATTTTAAGAAACTTAGACTGTCAGCCCCTTCCTCCTCACACTTAGTTTCACTTTCTTCTTGTGCAGATCTATTCTACTCCAAACAATCAGAAAAATATTGTTTCTATTCTATTCACTGAACTTCTTGAAACGTAGCACTGAAGGGGTTGATTCTGTATTCATAGGTTTGCAGAAGTTAGGATTAAGGTCTTTTTCTTAACTCTGCTCATGTTATAAAATTTTTGCTGTGAAGAAGAGGCATGTGATCTCCACTGAGTCAAATTCAGTTTTGAGAACTGCAAAAGTAAAGCAAGCATCTGTGATACTATCTTGTAGGCAGAGAAACTGCCCAATAATCTTACAAAAACCTCTGGAAGAGCGTGACATTGTGAATGGATTAACGGAATTTATTTACCAAAAAAATTAAACATATACAGCCTTATTCTACATTATTAAAAAAACTAATCTTTATTTCATGATGGAATAACCTGTGGATGGTAATATATTTTCCTCAAAAAGCATTTTGTTTACAAAAAAAAACCGATTTAAATCAAAAAAATCCGATTTTTTTAAAAAAATCATTGATTTTTATCCACCCTGGTTAAAGGTAACTTCTATTCAACTGTAGGAGTAGATTGATTTGTGTTTTTAGGTTTACAACCTAAATGTGAGAAGTGATCGCAGCCTCCCTAGCGGTCTGATTATGTCAGTATTTCTGTGCTCAAAGCGGTACATTTTTTTGCATGGAAATATGTATTTTTTTTATTGTGGGCCTGTAATTTTTAGGACTAACTCACTGAAATCTGTCCGAACAAGAGTCTAGTAAACATCCCGGGTATGTTAAAATTTGAAACACGAAATCATAAAATTATAATTTAATAAATAATCATAAAAAATATATAGCGCCAAGTTTGCACATCGCTGAGTTCAGTCGCAGAATCGTTTTCAGTGTCTGATGACAAATTTCCCCACGAATCATGATCACTCAATTCTGCAAGTAGCTCTAATTTACTATCGCTGTTCTCTAGCTGGTCTAAAACCGATTTTGACCTAAAGGGACGCTTTTTGGACGCCATGGATGTTTCTCAGTCTCCAGGCAGAAAGAACAGTAAAAATGTAGGCAGGGCACAGGACAATGCGCTAGGGACAAAATGTATGTGAACTGGTTTGATACAGTAATGTTTTACTATGTTATTTTAGTGAATTTAGTGCATGTCACTTTGTCATTTTCAAATTTCCCGCCGTTTCGTCCCCGTACGTCCCAGGGGACGGAACCCAGAAGACAGATGCCAGCATCCGCCGGAGGACATTACAGGGGACACTGCAGGAGGGACATCGTGGGAGCGCAGGACAAGGTAAGAGAAGAACAGATCCCAGAGCAGCACCGCATGGTAAGCCCGAGTGTAGCTCGGGGTTACCGCTTGTGGTACTGAAACTTTACCCTGAGCTACACTCGGGAATACCACCAGGGAGGCTACGGTGGGAGTCCCTAGAGGAGGAAATAGATGGGATTTCTACACCAGCTTTGCTTAAGAGAGGGAAGCAAGTGGCTGGGAATGGTAGATTCAATCACATTAGGTGTTTTTGTTGTCTTAGACTGGGACATATTGCTAGAGAGTGCCATGCTGTGAAGACTGGACAACAGCAGGCCAGCGTTCGCAAGACAGCACAGAGAGAGATGCAGGTTTATTCTTTCCACTGGAAATCTATGCCTTTCTGTGAAAGTGTTACAAGGCAGCAGTGGGAACCCTATAGTAGTTTTGCAATGAGCAGATAGGATAATGTGAGCAGTGATCTATGGTTTTGGCACAGTTGGAAGGAATGGATAATCTGCTTTGTCTCTTACTCTTTTAAGGTATTGAACATTCAAGAGCTGGAGCAGGCAGAGCAGATGACCAGTCCAGATGGGATGAGAAAGACCAGATGTAGAGGTGAGAGCATAAGGAAGATGCAGAGGATTTCCTGATGGCGCCCGAATTGGAGTAGATTTTCATCTGAGCATTTCCTTATGACCAGGAGGACAATGCCCTTTTATCTGGGGCTCTCTTTCCAACTATGTTACACAGACTGCCAAGGACATTGCTAACCCTGCTCAAGTAAATGTTGCAGTTTTCCAGGGAAAAAAGTCTGATCGCCCAGAACATCCATATGGTGAGGTTTATTCCACCCTTTCCTGGACAAACGTTATAAGGCTGTTGACAAATGCCGAGTTTCAAAATTTCACATATACTATAAAAATCAAGGAGGTGGTTTGTGTTGCTTGGCTATTTTTTGGTGATTTTCTTAGCTTAGATATGAGCTTATTTTAGATTTTAAGACCATGTGTTGTTTCAGAAGCTAAGGCCGCTCCTATTCATATGAAATGAACCAGTCTGACTAATTTATGAGCAATACAGGAAATGAGGTAGCAAGAGGAGGGAAGGAGGACTTTGTAACAACCATGTGGTGAGAGACAAATACAGAGTTGTTTTGGAATTTGGAGAGGAAGAGCTGTTCTTGACCTTGGAGAGGCGAGAGTTGTTTTGGTGAGACAAACCACGGGAAGACTCCTATTACCAGGAAACCAAGTTAAGTAGCTGATTAGTATACTTGGGCATCACATATATGCTAGTTTGTTGGGAAGGATAGCTAATAAATAAGAATAGGTATTCGAGCGCTAGGTCTTTTAAATTGCAAGCAGCTAGCATAAAGGCAAAACCTCTAAACTTTCTCATAAACTCATAAATAAATGCAGTGCTATAATTCCATGTAAATATTGATATGAAAGGTATATGATATGGTAAACACAAGAATGCGCTGTGGAGCGCAAAAATTCATCAACGCAAGAGAATGTCTTATTGACATTTAAAGTGCAAAATTTATATAAATAGATAAATGGTAGATTGCAAGTCCAAAAACAAATGATTCGGTGAATTCTGTGACTCCTGTGATTTATGAATGAGTATATATTGCACTAAATAAATAGAAATGGGTATACGAGCGCTAAGTATAATATAAAGCGAGCAGCTAGCATAAAGGAAAAACCTCTAAACCTTCTCATAAACCAGTGAAACAAATTAAGCGCTTAATATCGTATAAATATCAACCTAAATAAATGTATGGTAAGAGTAGCATAAATACATGCGCTGTGGAGCACTGTCAAGGTCCTACCTTTTCCCTGAGGTTATGTTACTCCATGTGCTGGCGTCCATCTTGGATTCTGCTGTGCATGGTGGGAATCCTTTTTATGCCTTCAGGTCTCTGAGGTCCACCCCCCAGAGGGGCGTGGCTGATGACATATAAGCCTGTGGCCCGCACATGCTCTTTGCACTTGTGTCTTGTGTCTTGGTGTTACTATTACACTGTTCTGACTCTTGTGACTCTCCTGGTATTCTGATTCGGCTTGTGACTTGACTATTCTTTGTATTCTCCTTTGATCTGACCCTCTGTTGCTGAACCCGGCTCGTGACCTGTGATTCTCGTCTGCTGTCCTGTACTGTTTTGTCCCTGTTGTTGTTGACCCCGGCCTGTCTGACTACTCTTTTGTCTCTTCCACCAGCTACACGCCATTGGCGGCGGCCATTACCGCAGCTGAGGTGTCTCGGGGGCCGCGACCTGGTTCCTGGCTGCGTCAAGTCCATCCCCACCATCAGGGGCCCTGGTGAAGGGCAGCCTGGGACTTAGACTCCGCGCCCTGAGGGACTTCCGTCTGTGGGTGGTGGTTGCCGTCAGCCAGTGCGTTACATTGTTAGGCCTGCCTGTCCGTTCCTCGGCTCCTGCCATGACATTACACAAGTGCCATGAACCCTGACTGTGCAGGCACGCCTTCGCTCCCAACGCTAGTCACCAGACTCGATCAACAGGATCACCTGTTGGATCAGTTCGCTCAGGCGTTGCAAACTCTGCTTGCACACACTGCACACCTTGCTCCTGGTGCTATTAGGCCGGTAGTCACTCCGGTGGGTCTCTCCCGCTGCTTCTCCGCCTATTGCGTCCACCACCTCGGCGGCTGCATCAGCGGCACCCAGAGGTATGACTGGCTCTGCCCCTCTTCCACAGCGCTTTGGGGGTGAGCCGAGTCAGTGTCGTGGGTTCCTCAACCAGGTGGGTATTTATTTTGAATTAATACCCCACGCCTTCCCATCTGAGAGGTCAAAGGTTGGGTTCCTAATTTCACTACTCTCAGACAAGGCCTTGGCCTGGGCAAATCCCTTATGGGAGAGGAACGACCCGGTGATTCAAGATTTTTCCGGTTTTGTCGATGCCTTCCGTAGAGTATTCGACGTACCGGCTCGTTCCGCCTCGGCGGCCAAGCTGCTCATGACCATGCATCAGGGTTCACGGGACCGTGGCCGAGTACGCCATAGAGTTTCGTACCCTGGCGGCAGAGGTCGGTTGGAACAATGAGGCTCTGGTGGCTGCGTTTTCCCATGGTCTTTCTGACACACTGAAGGACGAGTTTGCAGCTAAGGAACTGCCTGTGGTGTTGGAGGAGCTCATCTCTTTCCTGATCCTGATTGACACCAGGCTCAGGGAGAGGCCTTCACTCAAGGAACGCCTGCGGAGGCCTTCCAATCGACTGGCACCTGTGTTTTCTGTCCCACCCGTTCCTCCCTCTCCTCCCACGCCTCCTGGGGATAGATTGTCTGGTGGTGAGCCCATGCAGCTGGGGTTTGCTCGCCTTTCCGAGGGAGAGCGGGCCGCTCGGCGTCGGGAGGGTCGCTGCTGCCTGTACTGTGGTCTTGGTGGGCACTTTCGGCAGTCCTGTCCGGTCCGTCCGGGAAACGCTCGCACCCTGAGATCCTGTCGGGGACAGATCTTGGGTGGAGTCTCCTCGTCCCCGGCGTTCCGCAGAGATAAGCCACTGACCACCGTTGTCCTCTCTTGGGCGGAGGGCTCGGTGACGGACCAGGCGTTGGTAGATTCTGGGGCCGGCGGTTGTTTATGGACAGCTTGTTTGCTGCCCAGCACTCCATTCCCCTGCAGGCTCGAGTTACCCCATTGGTTCTCGAGGCGATAGATGGCAGGCCCCTGCAAACCACCGCAGGTTACCCACGAGACTGTGCCAGTGGAAGTAGCTATTGGGGCTGTTCACAGGGAGTTGGCCTGTTTCCAGGTGATTTCTTCTCCGCACTATTCGGTGGTTTTGGGGGTATCCCTGGCTCCAGATGCACAATCCAACCTTCAATTGGCAAACAGCCCGAGATTCTCTCGTGGTCTCCACAGTGTGGGGCCGGGTGCATCCATGGGCCGGTTAAGGTGTTGTGTGCCTCCTCGGGACTCTGCGTTGCCCTCTGATTATGGGGGGGAGTACCAGGACGTGTTTGATAAGGTACGCGCTGGTGCCTTACCTGTTCATCGTCCTTACGACTACGCCATATCCTTGCAACCCGGTGCCACTCCTCCGCGTGGCAGGGTGTATCCTCTCTCGGTTGCGGAGAATAAGGCCATGGAGGAGTACGTTGCGGATGCGCTTTCCCCGGGGGCACATTCGTAAGTCTACTTCCCCAGCAGGAGCGGGCTTTTTCTTTGTTAAGAAGAAGGGTGGTGAATTGAGGCCTTGCATCGATTATAGGGGTCTTAATCGAATCACCACTAAGAATGCCTACCCGATTCCCTTGATTACTGAGTTGTTCGACCGCCTTAAGGGGGCAACAGTCTTTACCAAACTTGACCTTAGGGCGGCGTACAACCTCGTACGGATCAAACAGGGGGATGAGTGGAAGACCGCGTTTAACACCCAGAACCGGTCACTACGAATACCTGGTGATGCCCTTCGGGTTGTGTAACGCGCCCGCAGTTTTTCAGGAATTCATAAATGATGTCCTTCGTGACTTGTTGCAGCAGTGCGTGGTAGTTTACTTGGATGACATCCTGGTTTACTCTGCCTCCATGGAGTCCCATATCCAGGATGTCAAGCAGGTGCTGCAACGATTACGTGAGAACGAACTTTTTTTGTAAACTTGAGAAGTGCGAATTCCATCGATCCCAAGTTGCCTTTTTAGGCTACATCATTTCTGCGGAGGGATTCTCCATGGACCCTCAGAAGGTTTCGGCGGTTTCTGCAGTGGCCTCGTCCCAATGGTCTTCGGCCCATTCAGCGCTTTTTGGGTTTTGCCAACTACTATCGGAAGTTCATCCGGAACTTCTCCACGCTGGCAAAGCCTCTCTCAGACCTAACCAAGAAGGGCAGTAATCCTCACGAGTGGCCACCCCGAGGCCATCGTAGCGTTCGAGGCTCTGAAATCCGCCTTCGCGTCGGCTCCGATACTGTCTCATCCCAATCCTGGATTGCCCTTCGTCCTTGAGGTTGATGCATCCGAGACGGGAGTAGGCGCTCTCCTGTCTCAACGTCGGTCGCCCGATGGACCCCTACTTCCCTGTGGGTTCTACTCCAGGAAGCTTTCCTCTGCAGAGTGCAACTACCAGATTGGAGATAGGGAGTTGTTGGCAATCATTCTGGCTCTCAAGGAATGGAGGCACCTGCTCGAGGGCTCCGCGG